AAAAAAAAAAAAAAAAAAAAAAAAACACTCTGGAACGCTTCGTTTCTTCGACGATCCTCTAATTTCGTGCAAACGAAACCGGGATAATTTGTATCGGAGTAGACGATGCGCGGAAAAGAAAAGCAACATGCCGACTGCACGGAAGAAACAACAACCAGCTAATCTGAAAGTAAGATTTCGTATTCTCGACCGACGTGTTATTTCAGGCCTGAGAATAGGATAGATAGGAAAGAAAGTGGAGTCGATAGTATCGTCGCGCGATGTCCTCCAACGCGTTGTTTGGAAAGAAGTAGACGACTTATTTCATTGACGCGCATCGGAGCGTTTCGTAGAAAGAAGCGATAGCTTCTCTCCGTGCACAGGCACAGATACGATGCCGTGTTTCCGGAACAAATTGCTCCGCTCCCATTGCGAATGCCGCGTTACGCTCGGGCCAGGCAATTAGAGGATTGTCGGGGATCGCGATAAAACGTAAATTGCGACGCACGGCTGGTGAAATGAGCGTGATCGGAGATGAACGGTGACACGGGTCGCGAAGCAGTTTCACCAGCTGTGCACCGCACCTGTGCCGTGTACTAATGACGCACACTAACCGCAACTTTTCTTTCTTTTCTCTCTTCGCTCTCTTCTTTCTTTCTCACTCTTTCTATTCGCATCACTCAATCATCCCTCGCATTCCCATCACGCAACGACACCCGAACCGATCGCAACACTCGTCGACGTACATTCACGCACACGACATTGCCGTTTCTTCGACAAATTACGGAAATACAAACAATCGGCGTACACGTTCCCACACGATAAAACACGTCCACGTTTCCGATCGTCCTTCCCCTTCACCTTGCCCTTTCCCCTCCGATCCGGAACAACGATCCCCGAAATAGGTGACTACCTTCCGGAGGAAATACCGCAAATCGTTCTGCTGACGTTCGACGATTCTGTGAACGATTTGAATAAGGGTCTCTACAGCGACCTGTTCGAGAAAGGACGAAAAAATCCAAACGGCTGTCCCATCTCGGCCACGTTCTACGTCTCCCACGAGTGGACCGACTACAGCCAAGTCCAAAATCTCTATGCCGGTGGTCATGAGATTGCCTCCCACACGGTTTCGTAAGTATTCTCGATAGGGAAGAAGAATCAATGAACAAAAACGTTGCAAGCGATCTTTTGCCGTTTTCTACCTTTTTCTTATCGGTAGAGTTCCCTTCGAATTGAAAATCTTTTATACGATCTTGATCGTTGTATTCGTCTATCGATATCAAAAAGATCGACACGTTACACGATATCCGAAGCAACTACGTAATTGACTGTATTTCATAAGATAACACCGCGAATTGCTGCTCGATCGATCGAGTTAACGAGATACCGTGTGTTACATCGTCGTCTGTTGTTGATCATTAATCACGTGTTCATTACCATCGAGCAATCGGGGCGCTTCAGCGATTCTAGCAATTGTCGGGCATCGCAGTCGTTCACGCTCAGCCTGTATGTACCGCCGATCAATTAGTAACCAATGCCAGCTTGATTAGTCCGTTCGAGCGAGACACAATCGCTTATTCGGATAGAAGACGCCGCTTTCGCACCTCGCTATGGGTCAGGATGCAAGAACGGATCAAGAACCGGTTTCGAACGCGTCGTAAAACATTGCACGGGTATCGATGGAAAGCGACACTCGCAAAGGGTTCTCGAATCATTTTCGCATGATCGCGTCCGTAACTTGGAAGCGAGCAAACGATTACCGGTCGATCGATTTTCTTGGATCGTGGCTCTGCGAACGCATGTCTTCTTTACCATCGGATGACCAATAGGCTGATTAATTCTAAAAATAGGCACAGTTTCGGTGAGCAGTTCTCTCAGCGAAAATGGGCGCGAGAAGTTGCTGGACAGCGAGAAATTCTCTCAGCCTACGGAGGCGTCAAACTGGAAGATGTCAGAGGAATGAGGGCGCCGTTCCTATCGGTAACCCTTCGTTCTTAAAAAGATAAGAATGAAGAATATAACGCACTCGATAACGACGTTTTTAATCCTAACGAAACAGGTCGGCGGAAACAACATGTTCAAAATGTTGTGGGACACGAACTTCACGTACGATTCCTCCATGCCGATATACGAGAATCGACCCCCGAGTTGGCCGTACACTTTGGACTACAAGCTGTTCCACGATTGCATGATTCCTCCGTGCCCCACCAGATCTTATCCAGGCTTGTGGGAAGTTCCTATGGTGATGTGGCAGGATCTAAACGGAGGTAGATGCTCGATGGGAGACGCGTGCAGCAACCCACCGACTGCTGACGGTGTTTACAAGATGCTCATCAAGAACTTCGAGAGACATTACACGACCAACAGGTCGGTCTCGCGAATTACTATTCGGTTATCGATCGAATATACAGTTACCCTAATTGTAAGAAGAAATTACTTTCCAGAGCGCCATTTGGGCTATTCTATCACGCCGCCTGGTTCACGCAGCCCCATCACAAGGAGGGCTTCATTTCGTTCCTAGATACCATAGTCGCTATGGACGACGTGTGGATCGTGACGAACTGGCAGGCAATTCAATGGGTCAGAAATCCTACACCGCTGCCGCTGTTACACACCTTCGAACCCTTCGGATGTAACTACCCGGTATACATAAATCTTCTTCCATTATTTAATAGGCGAAAGCTGCTCGACTTTGAAAGATGGCTCGAAGAAGCTTTGAAAAAATGATCCACGCATAAATCTTCGGCTTAATTTATTTCATGTACACCGTAGGACCGGCCTAAGAAGTGTAACAATCCAAAGGTCTGCAATCTGTGGCATAAGAGCGGAGTGAGGTACATGAAGACTTGCCAGACGTGTCCGGACATCTATCCATGGACGGGCAAGACCGGAATACGAAGCAGTCGTATCGACAACGACGTCGAAGCGCACGAATGAACGAAAAGAGAATCGGTGTTCCGTGCGATCGAGGCCCACCCAGCCGAAGAAGAGTAGCAGCGCCAACGGAGGAGATGAGACGTTTTTACACCGATTCGATTAATATCCCGTCCTTGTTTCTCCACTAGCCACGTCCTACGAAACATATCCCAGGTCGAGTACGCCAACGAAATCGACTCGAAATCACGCCACTACCACCTCTTCTCTCCCTCTTTTCATCGAAAATGGACAAATCGCGAAGGAACTAGCGTCACGCGGTGGGTCTTCGATAACATACACGAAGAAACGTGTCGTTCGACTCATATTGAGGCATTCGTTTCGCGAAACGAGTCATTCTGTTCGACGCGGCGAACGAGCGCACGATGGCCGAACGTTTCGAGTCTCTATATTCCGATCGGCAAACGTACAAAAATTCTAGCCACGCCATACAACGTGTGCCTGTCGTATATTATATTAATGTACGTCGGTTGTATTTAAGCGATTTGAGATAACTCGATTAGGCCGTATTAATTGATCCTAGTTTTGTTTGACGAATAGTAAGATCGATACAGTGTCTTTTTGCATATCGTTGCAATCAAGGCACTTTAATTAAGTAATTAACTAACGTATCGCATTAACATTTGTAATTCATTCGATTAATTAGCCGTGATCGTAAGTCAAATAAAGTTTCTTTACAGCGTTGTGCCAGAAAATGGAATCGTGGAAATCGAAAAATCGGTCGATACTTTACGCTGAAATCGAGGCATCGACCGATTCGCGGTTATCTTCTTACCGCGTTGTCGTTCCTTCCATTTTCTTGCTTTATCATCTTCTCTCTTTCACTCTTCGTCCTCTTCCCGCTCGCTGATTCTTTTTTCTCGTTTAGCTCGAAGCTTGTATCCTTGGCGTACTCGGCCTAAATCCGATAGATGAATTAATTAATTACAAAGTATATTGTCGTGGATGTGCAAACGCAAACAAAAACTGGAATCGTCATCGGTCGCGAGAGGTTTCCTAAAATCGACCTGGAGGTTCAGCACGCGCGGAGATCGCCTTGCGGACGAGAGAAACGAACCGAGAGTAACCGAGTGTTCACCTTAAACGAAGTATCGTGTATACGAGGGGATCGTCGTGTATACCTTTTAGAACCTGAAACTGTAATACGCCTTTAATCAATAAACATTTCGCTACAATTCCTACCTCTACTTCCTTGCTGCATCGTCTTCGTAGTCGCGTACAGAATACATTAGGAATTGACCATTAAAAACTAGAATATGGAGGTGGAAACGGGTACAATATGGTGGACCAAGCGCTCACACTGAACGAGTGAATCTCCTCCCAACGGATTCCGTCCATGCTACCTACGTGTTCCACCCAATACTGCGCCATACTGTTATAATTACTCTCCTCCCAAGTCTACGACAAGCATTCGATCTACGATACCATGGAAATGATCCAACAATTATTAATTACCCTTTTGTTCTGTTCGATCCAAGCTTGAACCAATTTGTTCTCCTGAGAGGAAGCGAATTTGCACGCCTTTACGAGGATTGATCGAGACCGTAGTTTTCGAGCACACAGCAGTTCCATGTAAGATTGTAATAAGTACAAGAATGGTTTGACGAATGGTGCGGATAGAGACTGGTTACGAAGGAACTTGATAATGGTTTTGGCGTCCTCCAGTCGATTAAACAGATCGCTCGATCGTCGGATGTGAATTTGACGCTTCAGTATTAACAAATAACACTCGAGTGCCTGCGACGAATGACCAAGAAGTTATTATTTTACATACAATCGTATACTTTTCTAATTAATTCTTTCTAACCTTGAAGCAGTTGCATATTTTCTGAAAGTTATTATGCGTGACCTGAGTTTCTAACTCAACGACGTCTTCCACGAACGTGGACGTCACTATTACGTTCCTAAAAAAAAATTATTTGGTAAGGTAAATGTTGTGATCGAGTCTCGCGAGTACTCACATTCTCAATTGCCAGATAGCTAGACAATTTGTCAGACGCAACACACTCTCTGGATCCCGTAAGGCACAAGTGTTGGGTCTGAAAGCTGAGAAACATGAAAGAAAATCTCAGCGAAGATTCTTATGGAGAAATTCTTACCTACAACGTTTCTATAGAAATTATAACAAGTTTCGTATGTTTCCAAGATCATGGCAGCGTCTAACAAAAATTCCATGCACAGAGCATAGTACCATATGATAGCAGAATAATCTACGTCCCTGTGAGAGAGATGATACAATTCGTACAGCAAATCGACAGCTTCGTATATCTTCTTCGTCCAAACCTGGTATAATGTTCCCGCGATTAAAGTACAAAAGATTCACGATGCTACGTTAAAAAAGCCTCACCATAGCTTCTATCAGCGATGGTAGTATAGCAAGCTTCATCTTATTCAAGCGCAAACAATTACATATTTTACAGATATTTATTCCAACCTCGATACTTTCCACCAGCTTGCCCTGTAGTATTCTTTCATCAACGAATAAATTATTAACGTTTGTTCTTTATTACGAAGAATTAAGATATTTTAAACCTATTGAATTACCTGGTTTCGAATATTGTCTGATAGATCCGAGCCACCAATATCATTTCTTCGGGTTTCTTCCAAACAAGCTTCTCTTTAATCATTGATAATATCGATATCTCCAGGGACTTTATCATGCATGGTTCTTGGAGCTGTCGAAAAGTTTGCACAGCGGATACATAAATGTCTCCTTTCTCCAAGAAGCCGTCGGGGCTTCCGAACGCCATTCGAAGACTCTGCAAAGTGGTAAGTTCCGCCATTTTCATTTCGTTCTGCAGCTGAAATTTCATCAATCACGTCATACATATATTCCGATTAAAGATTTAAAATTGTTTTGTAGATCGCAAATGTCTCGAACCATCGAAACCATGGACAACCGTTGCAGAGCGATAGCGTGCTCTACCTTCTCAGCAACCTCCTTCTCGGAGTTTTTATTTACGGTATGCTTGGGAATACCTAGCATCTTATACCGCACTTTTTCTAACGCAGTATTGTAACAGATTGCTTTGGCGCTCTGCGGTAGTTCGCTATTCAACAGCACAGCGTCGGTATAAAATTTCTTCGCTTGAGAATAATTTCCACAGGCAACGTAAGCATCCCCTGAGCAACAACCGCGTTCCAAGAACTGAATTTCTACCGAATATCGCCTTGTAATATCATACAATAACTAGGAAACTTTACCCATTAAAATTAAGTATTTTTTTTTGTCAATAGCTTGATCTATAGCATCAACTTTCGACCTTTCCTTGATCTCTGCGATATCGAAATTAGTGATCATGGTCGCGAGAAATTTGATTGCAGAGAGAGGCTGCCCGGTTTGGATTAAACCTGCGCTATAGTTCAATATAAACGTGACAAATTTCTCAGGATCGTCTGAAAAATATATTTCTGTAATAATTATACCATCCGCTATTATAACAACTACACCGTTAGGGGAAATGTGAAACGTTACCAGACCGTAAAATGTGATGATGCAACTTCCAGAAGACGTAATCGATCACTTCAATACATCTGCAATTACGATAATCAATGTAGCTAAATTGCTCCAAACGGCTGTCCCATGAATCCTCTAATACGGTATCCAAAATAGCAGATCGACTCGTTCTTTTTATTAAACTAGGTGCATCACCGTTCTTGTTTGTGTCTCGGTTTTCTGTATGATCTATCGAAAATAAGTAGAGTCAGATGCAAGTACATACATGTGTTTAAAGTTTGATACGATTTCGGTATACACATGTATTCACCATCGGTTTCGTCAATATATGTTGGCAGAATGGAAATCCTGCGAATACTCGCACTGTCACGCTTCTTATCGTTGTTAGTATCGGCAACAAAAATTGTACTTCGTCTAGTATCTAATCTATCGTATCGAGTCTGGAACGTTTTTCTTCTCTGTGCCGTTACATTTAGTTCCTGTGACACTTCCTTATGCTTGGAAACGATCAACGAAAAATTCGAGAGTCGTTTTAGATTACGAGTACTGGCTTTTATCTTTCAGATGCTTACGATTGCGTCGAACTCGTCCTTCGAGGTCGTTATTAAAAATTTGCCTCCGCCACAGGTATTACACTTTGAAGTTTCCTTTTCAAGCTTGTCTACAATCTTCGAGTGGTAGTCTTGCTTTTCGTGTGGCGCGAGCACATCGTAAAAAAATTTGCGAAACGAGGCTATTGTGAACTTCAACATTTTACAGTAAGCGTACGAAGGCAACGTTTCCTTGACAAATATAGCTGGAACAGAATGTCATTATCACGATCCAGAATTATCCAGAATGATCCTGAATGATCGGTATGTGTCGAATCAACCAACGGGTCGCTTGACATTCGCAGATCACCAAATGATGCATGTTGCTGAACGTTTTCTGTTTTTTGAATATGTGATACAATGACTCTTTCGAGTGATAGAATTTTCTCTGGACCATAGCGCACTCCAAAATCCTTAATTTGACCATCTCTGCTACGGCTAAAGTAATCAGGAAGAATATGGTAATTGCGAAATTTGTTTGCAATAATTGATACTTCCTTTTTGTATGTATATCGGTGTAGCGTCAACCATCACGTGGTCCAACATACTGCGTAGAAAAATGTCACCCAAAGTTGCCGCACACTTGATGAAATTTTGCTCGTAGAAGTTCATTCTGTTATAGATATCGACTCTCAAGCCTAACGACGTTACGATGTTCGTTTAAAATATCTTATATTAAGTTGCAGCATATGAAAACGTAATTCGAATAATAGACAAAACTCCAAGTCACCTATAACGTCTCGGTTGGATTCAACGAAACCTCTCGTCTGCTTCGACGATATACATACGTTCAACGCGCTCATCTGCGTCCAGTGTAGCGGTGGTGCCAATTCTTCAGGCGTCAAATATGCTGGGATCTTTGACAATAGCGATTGATCTGGGAAAACGAGATTATAGCGAGCCGCTTCCATGGGCGATATCGTGACAACTTCCAACGAATTAACTTGTATAGCTGACATCAAGAACGCTTCACACCAGCAAATCATATTTTTACTACGTTGCTGAAGAATTCTAAACGAATCAAGCGATTGATACATCGTACGACGTTTCGATAGAAAGGGACTAGGCTGAATTTACCTGTCGAGAGCGTCTGGAATCGCAATAACGTTCAAAAATTGGCAAGCAAACGCTGTCAAATATTTCGGCTCTAATCCGTCCAGTATTCTGTTCATCAGTCTCTTATCTTGATAAATGCCAGATTCGACTTGAGATAAATTATCCGAAGAAGTAGGTTCCATCATCGTCATGCCTACAACCACGCGGTTATTATTCAAAGTAGAGGATAAAAATTGCCAGGAAAGAAGATCCATGTATTGCACGTCGTCCAGGAGGATGCACAAGCAACCAATGACCTGAATTGAAATTTAACTCCATATAATAATATTTATAGACCGTTTTCTCAAAATAATCATTTATAACCTCGTTATAACCTCGTTTAATATATCTTCAAAGATCTCGGTTGCTTTTTTGTGACGCTGCCAATCGGTATCCTCGCAATATTTCTTCGATAGAGGAAACTGTACTCTCATGATGGGATTCAGGTAACAGAAATCCTCTGGGTCCAGTACTTTGGACAGCGTGTACGATAGAACTTTTTCGCGATCCTCGATGGTCGAGCAATCTTCAGCTTCGAAAAGCTAGATGCGCGAGAAAGAACGAAAAACTTGTCGTACTTCCGGCAAACACAGATGAAAGGAAATTCTGAAATTCTTGAATTTACTTGCAGAAGCACATGGTACAGTACAGCGTAAGCTTTCTCCGAATACGATGGATGCAAAGAAAGTTGAACAAGCTTTATCTGTCTGTTTCGAACAATTGTGACAAAAGCGTCGAGAATCCTCGATTTGCCAGATCTCTCACAGCCCTATGCGATTAATAAATATGAAACTTCTGATTTTAATTGCGCATACCGAAATTTGTATGTTTCGACCAGAACTTCGATAAGCAATCCGGAATAAACACGTTCTGCCACTCCGATGTCATCTAGAATATCCTTGAAGTATTCTATTTCATTATATCGGCCAAGAATGGGATAAACATACTCCAAGCTCGACAGTAATTCGGTTTTCCTGGAACTAGAATGGATTTAAGTAGACACCAAAACAACGTTATGGAACGTGTAATTAACGATCAAGGGCATAATTACGACGGATCTTTAGCCGAGAATTCGTAAACGTGACATTTTCCAAACTTTCTCAATATCTTTATACCTTGCGAAAGAAATTTTCCCTTGGGCAGATCGCTGTTTAGCACGGTGTCGTAGTCGCAACATATCTACGATAAATATTTTTGTAGATTTTACAAAGGAATTTTCAGAACGAATTGTTAAAAACTTCGAAGACAAACTGTATCGAATGAAACAATCGCCAAAGAAATCGCTTTCTGGACAGGCGTACCAAAAATCATGTACTGTCTTCTAACGGCATGACCTATTACTCCGCAGAATGCTATACCTGTTAAATACGCAATAATGTAAAATCTGAAATTGAAAAATTCGACATTTAAAATTCAAAAGATCACCGGTCGAGATGCCAATCAGAACCGTTTTGATACCAGGAACGCGTTTTACTTCTTTTATTATTTGAAGCGAGGTCAATAACGCGTTCTTTGCATTATTCCTCTCGTTTCCTCTTTCTTTCTCTTCCTCGCTATTATGATATCCTTTCATTCCGTATATGATATAAAACGATATATCCTTTTCGCATAAATTCACCATGTACGGGCATCCAAAATATCCTTCGATTACACTGCAACAAAAGATCAAGGCATTCATCACTTCCAGCAATTGCACAGAACAATTTCAATTCCAATGAATCTATTCCAACGGAGATACTTTTGAATAATTTCGAACAGTTGATCCGCCAGAGAAATCAACTCGTACACAGTACACTCACTGGGAACCACATTGATACAGACCACGGTAACTTGTCTCAATTCCGTTAAATATTTCAACGATTCTTCGTCTTTGATCTGAGAACAGAATTTTGTTATGCAATCGGTTTTTCATTTCACGAGAAATTACGAAACTTACGATCTCTAGGACCTCTCTGAATATGTAACTTTTCAAGTATATGCCGATACGTCTTCGCAACGCGTCGACTACTGAAACTCTCGCTGTGAAAAATTATCATTATCGTTAATTCTTTCATTTCTGTATTAATTTGCTACTAAATAGGGTCGATTTACTCTGAAAGTGTATAACATCAATGTCGGGATCGACGGTTACTTCGGAGACGAGTGACGTTTCCGATAACACCTGAGACAAATTGGGATGACCATTCAACGATAAGTTATCCACTGGTGCGCTGCTTTTTCTCGATGGTTCCGACGGCGGTCCAATCACTTTAATAATCTATCACATACCGACAATCGATGATATATCGATATTTAAAAAGATAGTCTTCGATCTTCGAAATTATTCGAAATTAAGTTATTCGCACCTTAATGTTCCTGGCGTCTTTGATAACGTACTCATACTGGCTGGGTGAGCAATGTTCCCAAGCACTGGAGGACAATACAAGATCGCCTGGTAAACTGATTCTTTTCGCGTGCTTCAGATCCTCGACTGGCTTGCCAGCAATTACAAAGTGTCTGGCTCTGTCGTCGCCTATTATCGAAAACGTCAAGCTTCCCGTGGAGATTACGATATTCACTATGAACGTCAAGATCGATACATTACTACGACTCGCGTCTTACTTAACTATGCGCACCTAAACGGGATTATCTTACCTTTCGAGACAAAATCTTCACTTTTCGCGTGAGCAACGGCATCCTGGATTCGTTGAGCGGATAAAATCGCGTGATGCACCATTTTTGAAACGAATTCATCTCTGTTTACCTTCCACATGACTAGCAGAGCATCGTCTACGTGCAACGACGATTTTTGAAAAGATTTGTTTTCTTATTACCAATGGAAATCGATAGACGTACGAGAGAATTTCAACACGTCTCCGTGAGTGAGGTACACTTCTTCGATTATAATCTTTATGTAACGGTTCAGAAGAGAGAACAGAGCATAGCTACCGCCATTTTCACCACTGACGTATTTTTTGTAGAGACCGACAAATTGCGTCAGGCTGATCATCGCCATGACCGCGGTAAATTTACGGAAATTCTTCTTGGACAAGTCGCTCTCGTATATTAACTCATCAGGAACGAATGTCGCCATTATTCGAGTGCAATTGTCGTCTCGGTGAGCGTTTAATACCTAATTATTTTGTTCGAACGTTATACGTGGATACGAAATTAAATGTAAAAAGAGAAAAAGATTAACCTCTCGCAAGCTGGTACTCTCTTCTTTGTATATCGGTCCGATGACGTCTGGCGTCCATGCAGTTTCCATGTAATCGCAATACAACATTACTATACTCTTTAATTAAATCTAAGTACGAACGATACGGAAATCGAAATATATTTTTAATTCACTCGGAATCGCTCGATTACACTTCGTAAAGAGTTATAATTCGATCATCATTTGTTTCGATACGATATAGGTCGAAAGGATTGATAGGTTACATCCGCGCGTGAAGAGTTCTAAAAGTGAAAGATTTCTCCAAGTTTGCACCATTCACGGAAGTAGAAAGAACGGAACATTTTTATATAAATTATTTATTTTATTATGTTATTAATTAATACAGAAGGGAATGTCAGAATTTTATATCACATAAAATATGATATCACAAATACAAAGAAAAGCAATATGTATGCAATAATACCAGAATGAGAATAGTTAAACACAAAATAATTATATGGTTGCATTTCGCGATACCTTTTACTTTAAAAAATAAACAAAAAACAGCGTAATGCTTAGTCAAAAAAGAACCAAATGAACCTATATATTTACCCATTTGCATCCGTAAATAGAATATTCGGCACGTAACGATCGTCTTCTATCATCGAGCGCGGACTATTCCGCAAGCCGCGACTTTTTTTTTTGTTATCGGCCGTGGAATATTCCACATATGACACAGTTCGCGTTTTACTGTCAATCTGCGAGCATTTGAGCTGTTAAAAAATACCATGTCAAATAAACTCTAAGAACCATTCAGAAGTCATTTACTATAGGAGTTAACGAAAATAATAAAATTACCGATATACGGCCGCGCGTGGTGATACGGCCCAATCATCAGTTGAACGACACTGATGTCTGGACACAGTAACACAGTCATGATGCAAATGGGTCAAGCCTATAAACTAACCTATAAACGATAAAAGAAAATGTAAAATTGAATATATAATATTTACAAGCACAAACATAGATTTTCTTATTCCGAAATTTCTTTTTGTTGGTTTTGGTTTTAGTTTTAAATATTTGTTCAAGTACTGTTTTTATATTTATTTTTGAATTATTATTTTTTTTTTTTTTTCTTATCACAACCTAAACAAACTTCTTCCCCTAGAAATAACTATTTTCTATTATTTACAATGACCACCGTAATAAAACATTCTGTCTTGTTTCAACATGAACATAAGGAAACCAAAAATAGATCTCCTTTCATGTTATGTTGTTCGTGTACATTATCGTATATTGGAATTTGATGCACGTTAAAAAATTTAATACACGATTTAGTACACAAATGAGACATTTATACACAGTTGTCGTATAAATTGATTGCTGACATATTGGTGCAAATCTTAGTGATTTATTTACGATGTTCTCGTTCGTCCCTTGACAAAGTGTTTTTTAACCGATTAACTCTGATATGTCTTTTCTCAAATTTCGCCATGGTAAAAGATAGTAAAAGATATCGAAAACTTGAAATGATAAATCCTATAAGATCTGTGACTAAGTGTGTTAGAGCATTCGATTAAGGAACGTAACGTCATCAAGTATAAGAAAGGAAAAGAAAAGAAATAAATCCTGGTTAAAATCGTAAAGAAAAGAACGTAAACTTCGTAAAAGAATAAAGTTGCAATCTATCTTAACGTAAACCACTATACGCCCCGTATCTTCGTTGATACAAAAAGAGCCAAAACGTAAAATATAATTGAAAGTAAAAGAAGACGTAAAAAAAAATAAAAATCAAACGAAAGGAGAACTTTGTCAAGACGGAAGACGCTCAACGAAAACATTGAAACATCGCATATTTTCATGGAAAATTTGATTCCATTTGAATCTTCCAACTATTTTGAATGATAAACGAAGCACGTAAATTTTACAATATAAAACGTCAACCACCAAAAATGTTTTTGCTGTTGCACTATTGTACACACGGCGATCGTTTTCAATTACAATTAGTTGGATTGCACAATTTAACCCGAAGCTAGCGATACTCTGATAAACAATGCGCTAATGCTTTCAGGTAAATCTAACATTTTAATAACTTCATTACTGAGCAAGTAAATCTTATCAATGTATCATTACATAGCTAGTATCGATTGCTTTGGTCCTCTTAATCTTTCAATAATATATGTACAACGACAGTCACTTCCTGGAATAAGATCGCTTAATGAGAGATGAAACTTACTAAATTTCCCTCTTGTCGTTTCTATGTAGAAAATTTGCGTGAAAAAGATACGTGAAGAAATATTCCACGCATTCTCAGTTACTATACTTAGCTCTTGATCTTAAATCATTAGAAGATCATATACTTGTTCCAGTAAAGCTGCCTTGAGCATCGGTCGTTTACAAAAATATAGAATTTTTATTAGAAAATTTGTATGAAAATACAAATATATATATATATATACATTTAGATATATATGGAAATATATATACATATACATATATATATACACACATATAGATGACCATATGCCTCTATCTATTAGATACCTTATCTATAGACTTTTTTAATATCTGTAACAATTAGCTACGTATTCAGTTGCTTCGTCGTATAGAACGAAGGACGAAATTTCTTATGGATCACGGCACACTATTTTTTCAGGTTTATTCTTTCACGTTACCGTCCCCGCAATTGCGTGTAGCTTGAAGCATTAGAAAAAAAGTAGGCTTTGGTGTTTTGTCGATTTCAGTCACATCCGGTACGTAGGACTCTATATTCAAGCAATATAACCACCAGACAAGTTCGAAGAAAAATCGTTCGGTCTTCTTCCCAAGAGTTATATAAAATTCGATCAGAATTTATCGCAGATTTATTGCCGAGATCTACCAATGTTTTGATCTGGCGACATGCAAGAAGAAGGGTATCCTGTTGCCACACGGAACGCCGCAAATGTTGCAAGTATAAGGATCGTTTTCACCGTGATACCCCATATGGATAGTATACATCACTAGGTTACCAAACACAATGTTACAGTGTTGACAAATGATTTTCTGGCTCAGTGTAAACTTGCTCCAGTCGTAACCTGTTTGCCCAAAGAAACAAAGGTCATTGGGAGTTGGAAGCCTGGGCGATTGTTCTTGCTGCTCGTGTGATTCTTCTTCATCGGACTTCTGGACCACCCGACGATTCAGTTTTACAGCTTTCCCCTTGCGTCTGCTAATACGTGTCTCTCTTGATCTGCTAACATTTTTAGAAGTACTGGATTTACTAAGGTCTAAAGGTGCCTCCTCCTGCTCTGTCTCTTCCACAATGTTCATCAAATCAGGCTGAATGGAAATCATATCGCGAAGCGCCTCGTTATTTAGCGAATTATCGGCCACATCATTTGAAACATTGCTCCCATCGGGGCATCTGAACACGAGATTTTCAAATGAATCGTCCAACATCCTTCCTCCGTTTAACATCACTAAATAGTCCATCATCACCTTAGATTGTATTTGGTCGAATTCTTTTACGATATTATTGCCTTGGGCAGCAAGGAAAGGCAGTAAAGGAAAGCGAGCGAATATCTGATTGTATGGGAAAGTCGCGAATGATTGATTCGGTATGACTTCGTTGAGTCCCCTTGCGGAGCTGGCACTGCACGCAATAACTCCGTTCAACATGTTGACACTATTCAAGATGGCAGCGTTTAAAATGATAGCATTGTTCAACGTATTAGTGTCGTTCAATATACTCGCACAGTTCAACATATTCGAGAAGTTGAGGATATTCGCATTGCTTAAAGTATTTGCTCCGTTCAAGTTAAACGCGCCGTTGAAGATATTTGCAGCGTTGAAGTTATTCACGCCATATGAAGTGCCTGGTCCATGCGAAGTGCTTGGTCCAGCCGAAGCGCCTGCGCCCTGCGAAGCGCTTGGTCCAGCCGAAGTGCTTGGTCCATACGAAGTGCTTGGGCCAGCCGATGTGCTTGGGCCACACGAAGTGTTTGTTCCAGCTGAAGTGCTTGGTCCAGCCGAGGTGCTTGGGCCATAGGAGGTGCACGGAGCATACGAAGTGCTTGGGCCATACGAAGTGCTTGGGCCATACGAAGTGTTTGGGGCATAAGAAGTGCCTTGGCCATACGAAGTGCCTGGGCCATACGAAGTATTTGGGGCATACGAAGTGTTTGGGGCATACGAAGTGCTTGGTCCATACGAAGTGCTTGGTCCGTACGAAGTGCTTGGTTCGTACGAAGTGCTTGGCCCATACGACGTGCTTGCATCATACGAAGTGCCTGCGCCCTGCGAAGTGCTTGCTCCATGCGAAGTGCTTGGCCCATACGAGACGCTTGCATCATACGAAGTGCCTGCGCCCTGCGAAGTGCTTGCTCCGTGTGAAGCGCTTGCTCCATGCGAAGTGTTTGCGGCATTCAAAATATTCGCTGGACTGAAGTTACTTGCAATGGTCAAGGGGTTTGCGCCATTCAAAGTATTTACAAGATTAAAAATATTCGCTGCATTGAAGTTATTTATGGTGTTCAAGGGGTTTCCGTTGTTCAAAGTATTCGCAATGTTGAAAGCAGTCGCTGCATTGATACTGTTCGCGATGTTCAATGGGCTTCCGCCATTGAAAGCATTTACTCCACTGAAGATATTTGCGGTGTCCATGGGTCCTGCGCTGTTCATAGTGCTTGTCATGTTAAAAGTATTCGCTCCATTGAGGTTACTTGCGATGTTCAATGGACTTGCGCTGTTTGAATTATTCGCAACGTTAACAATATTCGCTGCATTCAAGTTATTTGCGATGTTCAAAGGGCTAGCGCTGTTCGAAGTATTTGCAGCGTTAATAATATTCGCTGCATTCAAGTTATTTGCGATGTTTAAGTTGTTTGCATTGTTCAAAGCATTTGCAGCGTTCGCTGCATTTATAATGTTCAAGTCATTTATTGTATATATCGACAACTGATGGTTAATCGGAGACACTTCCGGTGGAAGCTCTGATTGAGGAGAAGATGCTGCAACTTGAGCGTTGCTGTCAACAGCGGTGCTCGGGCCTGCGTCATCAGGAGACTTGATCGCCTTTGGTTTCGGACCACGACGTGTTCCATACACATCTATAATAGGAAGTGGATTCGGCGAACCATCGGCGTTCAACACCATCGCTGGATCGTGGTCATACTTTCTCAAATGAAGTTTCAACGAGTGACAGTACTTGGTAGCATATGAACAGTTGGCGCATCTATATTGGTAGACGTTCGAGTGAGATTTAAGATGGCTGTTAAGCATGGATTTGTTCACACATGAATACGGACACTTGCTGCATTTGAAAGGTTTCGAGCCGAGATGATTCCGCAGGTGATATTCCAGATGATGTTTATATTCGGTGATGAAAGGACACTTTGGGCAAGACAAGAGCTTCTCAGCCTTAATATGACACCGACTATGCTCCCAGAACTCGAGTTTAGTTATGGCTATGAAAGTACACTGTTTGCATTTAAAAGTTTTCACTTTGCCTTGCGAATTCAATCGTGGAACTCGGAGTCCCGGGTCCTCGTCTGCTTGCTGTCTCGAACATTCGCCTTGATTTGCCACAGATGCTGATTCCGCACCCAGCTGGTTAACCATAGATTTTAACGCTTCTGAAGCGTCTCTTCTTAACGTAGAATGTGCCGTTAAATGAGTCGAGAACTGTGCCCTGTAAAAGAAAATTCCCCTTTTCTTTTGTCTTTGTTCGGTTTCATACTAATATCTATGATAAGAAAAAAGATAGATTAGTTACCTATCGTACGTAATGAACTCGCAAATAGGACATTGCAGGATATTTTTCTTGGGTGCACGTTTTTGTTTCGCTTTTGTTGATTTCGTCACTCTAGAACCGCCACCCTTTTGTTTCGGCTTACTTCCACTCCTTGAAGTACGTCCCGAAGTTCCGGGAGTTGGATGATTATTATTAACCGTCCCCTGTGGATTGTAACAGTATGTATTGCTTCCTACGTTATGCGAATCCTGCGAACTCCCACTTTCCGGTGACATGCTAGAGATAACTGTCGAAAATGATGTCGATGTACTCGGCGAACCAGAATTGCTCGTGGAATGATCGGGTGATACACCTGAATCGTTGTTCTTGTCTTCGTTTGATTCTTCTTTCTATGAATACCGTATTGTGCACTGTATTAGTCAAGGTTTTCGATTCAGATACGCTGTCTCTCAAAGAAAAACAACAAAATGTGAGGTAGGAGGATAGACAGGTGGTGGATACAAGTTGGCGAGTGGTCGGTCAAGCGAGAGCAAAATTAAGCCAAGTTCTGAAAGTAAAGCTATGAGGAGTTAACCGAGTCCATCGAGTTAAGTGAAACGACATTTTGTCGATCGCCGAAGAGAAAGCAAGTGGGGGTTGCGGCTGGGGGATAAAAAAACGAGAGGGTGTAGAAGGGGAAGACGCGAGTGTAGAGAAAACGAGAGGGATGAATGTGTTAAAGGGAAAAAAAGGGATTTGATCAGAGAGGGGTTGAAACGATTACTCACCACGCTTCTATCGGCGATACCCCAGGCGGGCGTGGTTGACGGTTGAACTTGAGGTGGGGGACCTTTCTCTTGAGCCATGGTTCTTTTCCGTTTTTGATCTGTTTCAAAACTGCTACTCTGTCCTCCGTCTCTGCTCCCTGCACTATCTTCTCTGTCCGATTTCTTATCGTCCCTTTTCTTATCAGAATAAATAACAAATATTTAATCGTATTTAATTTGAAGCATGCTGCTTCGAAGTTGATGCGATAATTAGCGAATATATGATAATCGTTCAAATTGTTACATAGGCAAAAATTAAGAATTCGTATCACGGACAACAACACATATGAAAATTCGACGATCCAAGTAAAAGATTTAAGCAAGATGGAATAACGAAACGGGTAAAACAATTCGGCTTGGATTGACCTTCGATAGAATACAGTCGAAAAGGATTAGTATTTACAATGATCGTATGAATATCCGCGAAGAAGGGAACAGACCGACTGGGCAACTAGCCTGCGCCTATTCTAAAGCTAATTCCAAGTAAAATCATTTCACAATGTTTGCCTGTTGTTCGCGTCGTCCTTTTGCCTTGTACGCGCTACAAGAACAAATTACTTTTGATGTATGGAATCAGTGAAGCTATTTTACTCGAAGCAAGATAACGAGTGGTAAAATCGTTCCGATCCAAAACACGTATCTCTATCGTTCAAAGATTCCGAGAAACGAAACTATCCTGTCCTATGAAATTATTCGAAATCTACATCTTTACATCTTAACGAACCAATTTATTCGATCTATCTATCTAATTAATTTGAAATATTTAGCAAACTTATTTTTTCATCGCTGTCCACTGCGTTGATATATTTACGACAAGATGCGTATTTTAAAAATGTAAGTATCCCAGTGGAATTGAAGAACAAAGAAAAGCGAGAAAACATATTTTACCTTCTGCGATGTGCCAGACGGAAGATGAACGGCACTGGGGTTAAAGTCTACCTCATTTATTCAAGTAGAGCATACTTGAAAGGTTCAAAAAGTGACAGGGTTGAAAAATCCTACTTTTCACTTCAACTGGAAATGTCATTGTTCGCCTGCCTCCGTACGACTATGGTCATAAATTAAAAAGCAGTCTTTCCCTTTTGCTTGACTGTTATATGACCAAGTATACCCAGAAATCGGTTAATAACAAAACAACCCTTGTATTAATAAGGTCGTCTCGGTTTAACCTGGATTTGCAATGCATGAAGCGTCAAGTTTTCGAATTTTTACGATTTTTAAATTGCAGCTATAAAAAATGTACAGCTTAATTTTGCGCAATTGCCAAAAATTCAAATCTTCCCGAACTGTAAGTTCGAAGAATTTCTGTGTCGATCATCCGCTGCGGAATTCTTTCGACGACGCACAAACATTCGCGTTCCAGTAAGAACGCTTATAAGTCGATTAAAGCGAACTCCATCGTGCTCGTTTGAACAAGAACAAAAAGACTTTGGTAAAGGTCGAAGGAAGAGAACCTTTCGAAATTCTTAGCACAATCACAACAGTAGGTAAATAGAAAACTTACAACAAAGGGACGAAACGGATACAGACTCGCGAATATAGATGACTTATAGATCAGAGAGAAAACGAACTCGTTCGAGATGGACAATTAGAATTAGAATAAGTATCAAACTAATGCGTGCTAAACAAAAAACTTAATAGAGTCTAATAAAACGAATCGTAGTCGTTTTTGCAGAATTACAACTAAAATCTCTGTGAAATCGGTAATAATTATTAGAGGAATAAAAACTGTTAAGTGATGATATTCGAAAACGATCATTAAGAAATTATAATATGTATATTAAATCACGAATTTGTAATTTTCAGATGTGTGCAATATTGAGAAGTTTGTAAAATTTGTAAAGCTCGCCTTGTTTGAAGGTCGCCAGGCTGAAATAAAACTATCTATCTATTAAATCACGATGTAATGTTTATTTGTATAAAGTTGAAGCCTGTATCCATGCTAGACTAGAAGACAATAATACGGATGTATCAGGACAATGAATGTAAATTTGAAAGACTATTTAATGAGGCGACACTAGGGCAAACGTGAATTTCCATCGGTCACCGTACAGCGTACACCGACGTTATGGCGATTCGGAAAACAATCGGCGAGTATCGTTGCTGACTTCGCAGCTGGCCTGTCTTTTTTAATAAAAATTAAAAAGAAAAAATGAGGCGAACAAAGGAGAAAGAAGTAAGAAACAAGAAGACGGAGAGATTTGCGACCATATTCACGAGAAAACATATAACGTTTGTTTTTCCGATATCCTTGTTGCTCCCGACATGTTGAATTTTCTCTGTGTTTGTTTCGATTCCGTACACGATGTCATTGCTATATTATATCGATACTTTTCGAAACGTGCAAACTAAACAACGGCTAATTTCGATGCGCGCGTATACCTCGATAGAAAAGTCAATGATTCTCGGATTCGGCTTAGAAAGAAACTCGAAACCAGCGTATCGTTGCTGGCGAATCTGTAAATTGGACACGACACGCGTATACACCGGCAATTGAACATTTTAATTTATCCGTATAAAACAAAGGAGCAGCGTAAAAAAGTGCATGATCGAATGGAAAACGATCGAACAAACGCGCGAAAAGAGAGGAAACGATCGGCGATCGTCCCTCCGAAAACGATTCTGCTGTTCGAATTTCGATTTTTCTTGCTTTTCGGATCAATTATGGATCGCATGGTTTAAAATCTTCCTTGTACCACGACTACCTTTATTCGCAAATTGTCACATAATGTCAGATTAGAAAAACTAAAAGATTACTTACCTCGGAATTTGAATTCTTCGCTTTTTTCATTGTCACGAACTGTAGATTTTAATTTACACACTATTAGCACTAATTTAATACACTTACTTAATACGAGAACTTAATTACACTAATTTAATACACTAACTTAATTACACAAACTTAATCACATAAACTTGCCCGTATATAAACATTTTAACCTAAGAAGAAAAACTAAGAAAATTAAAAAAGCTAACTCTGCCGGTAATCGAATACATAAGTAAACCGACAGATATGTCAAGCGCTAAATAAGTAGGCAAATACACAACTAAACCTCGTTAAGAGCGATCTGTCCTATGACTGGCAAGAAACTGCCGAGCGACTGGCGAACATGACCTAAGTCCCAAAATGAAGTACTAGGTATATTTGTGACTCGTGTGTAGAGGGCAGCTACCCTCTCCCTTTCGAAACCGTCTGCCCAATCGGAGGCCTCCGATCGCCTGGATTCGTTTTTTCAGTTCCCACCCCTTAACCCTGTCATGCCTCCTGCATATTGAAAACTATTAGCAACCACCTTATCAACCACCACTCCGTACCTACGTAACATTTCTTCGTTCCCCCCAGACACAGATTTTGCTTGTCCACAATGTTTTCCAAGTATCCTGCCTCTTCTTTTTCTACCAGCTTGAACATTTCCTCCCATCGTAGATATCTATAATTCCTTACTCTGTAACTGTTTCTTATCGTTCGTAATACTTGTCTAAAAATTGTTTAAATATATATTTAAACAATTATATTTGTTTTATAACTCTTTTTTAACCTTCTTACCGTACTCTTGTCAGTTTACCGAGTTTAATCGAATTTCGCGATTTTACGCGCCGTTAGCTAAAGAAAAAAAAAAAACAGAAGATGTAAAAGTAAAGAGCGTCTTTTAATTAACGTCGGCGATTCCCAAACGGAGAAAAGGGACGAAAAATGCGTGGATACGCGTGCGCGCCCTATTCTTTTTCCGTTGGAGGCAGTCTGCTTTCTCTCGTGTTAGACAGATCGCACCCTTTTCCCGCGTTTCGGGAAAGCATCAAGCTAAATCATTAGCCAAACTCGTTGTTCCCGGCTTAGAAAACACTGATAATGGCGAATAAAATTTCCAAAGTTTCTCTCCGCTATTTTATCAAATTTTATCAAACCCGAGAAAAAGGTGCGGAGAGGTGCGAAGAAAGCTGGTGGCATGAAAATCCTAGTAAATTTGAATGAAACTGTAGAATTCGGTGTTTTCCATATCTTGTAGAAAATGACGTCGAAAACGTAATCTTGGGGATTTTCAAGGGTTTTGACCGACAGGTACAACAGCTTCGTTACCGTAAATCGTCTCTTAACCCTTTCGAAGTTGAGCGAGAGAAGAAAAGGAAAAAATTTCCTTCAACCCTTTCCCGTAATCTGCTCTTCCAGCAAACGGAACTATTTCTACCGTACGTTTACGACTGTACTTTTACAGTTAAAGTCGCCGTCAAAAGAAAAAAGAGGGTCGCATGCATTTCTAACAGTTCCCACGTTTCTTGTTTGTCGTACAGTCGTTGTACGGTAACCCTTCATCGACCTTGTTTTTCCGATCTAGGAAAAGGCCAATTTTTTATCGTACATTCTTGTCCATCGATGCTCAAAGATTTTTATGTTTAGTTAATAACCTTTTAACCCTTTACGCCTAATAGCGTAACAATAGATCGACAAGAAAAATTGAAGAAATTTTGCGAACGAGGTTCCGAGTCCTCCAACTTTTATCCCCTTGTAATTCAATTTTGAACTTTTGCAAAAGCTTTTCAATTCATTGCCGTTTGCAAAGGTCCAGAAATAAGACGAGAAAGTGTTCTCGCCTCTTGTAAAAGAATGAAATATTTTTACATCTTTCTAACCCTTCGTGTATTCATACTCTGGCCTTGTTTCTCTTTGCTAACCCGCGTTTCTCTCTAGCAATTTCTGTCATAAATATAACAAAAAGAAAGAGTACGACGACATTTATATGCAAATGCTAATAAACACCGTGGTAATAAATTATTATGCTATTAGGTCGCTACGCTCTGCTTTACTAATAAGGGACCAATGTCGAGATTTTTGGGTAATCGTCCCTCGTACCTAAAACCTGTAAAAGGACCTTAGGGAAGATCTGTAAATTTTGTTTCTTTAACAACCGTCCTTTAATCCCTTCAATCAGTCATGTTTTTCATTTGCATGTCAATACGTGAAATTATCAGGAAAATATATTCATTTTTATAAAATACGCAACGTATTTTATACGAAATATATTGTGTATAAATGTACCGTTGAAAATTATCAAAGGCATTTTTCTAACGTGACTATTGGGCCGTTTTATTCGCGCTTAATAAAATGTACAATACTTCCACATGCGTCTTGTAGAAAATAAATTTTAACATTTAGGAATTAAGCTATAATCGAAAAAAGCCTAATAATAGGTCTTTTTAAATGTGCGATACGAAGAAGATATTAAATACTCAACAGTACTTAAAAGACTCGAAAGTCATTGACAAGAGGTTGTAGCGGGCAAGTATTCAAGGAAGAAAACTCGTTAACTTTTCAGTAATGAGGAAAGAGGTGCTTGGAAGCGCCTTAAGAAAACTCGTTTATGGGAAACGAAAAGGATTTGCATATTTCGCCTTTTGATTTACGGACTTACTAGGTGTTCAAGATTTACAACCGAAAAACTAATTTCCGTTGTTCTTCCTGTCCTTATGTCGAAAATATACTAGTTCTTTGCGAACCGAGTTAAGCCTTAAAGAATTATCCTCTGCTGTTTTTGATTTATTTATTTTATTTCAGTTTTCCTTCTGTCGATTTTGCCTGGTACCCTACCTAGTTTTGTAAACCTGTGCCTCCCTGGTAATCTTCCTGAGATTGTTATTTTTTTAAATTATCTAAAAATATAATCAAAAAGTATGAAACATCAGACATCGATATTATTGCATTCTCACGCTAGAAACAGAAAGAGAAATTTTCTGCCAGCAATTAAAAGGAGTAGATCAGATTATTGTCTCAGACGAGGGAAAAGAATTTCCTCCTGTTCAATGACCTTCCTGCTTTCTCTCTCTCTCTCTCTCTCTCTCTCTCTCTCTCTCTTTCTCGCACCTACCGTATATCTATCTCGTTTTACAGGTCTGTCGTATATTCGGATTTTAAAGCAACCAATATAAAATTTTCACGCAAGAATTCACCTCAATTAGGAACTTTATACACTTGATGATCAATCAGTTATTATATAATTGTAAATAGAATTTATTGGACCATTTTTTTTTACAAAAATCTGTAAGACTATTTTGGCATTAGAGCTTAGGATAATATTTTCATCTTACATTTTCGAGTATTCCTTAATCTTTTTTAAATCCTACCTACCGTCATACTTCTTATATTAACTCGTGAAGCGGTCATAAATATCTATGTACTGTAACCATCATAAATGGTGTTAGAGACCACAGAGCATTATATAAGAATAAAGTAATTAAACATAAGCGCTAATAAAATTCGAAGAAGACAACTAAACATTCTTGTTAGCATGAGAAAAATTATGAAATTAATACTTGTACAAAAATATATAATTTCTGACCGTGAATATGTGTTAACGAAATTCATGCAAAAAAGTTGGATAAGCGGAAACACCGGTAAAGGCGCATTACCTTACCTGAGCGTGGGTGTGTCGAAGTTCGTTTAAACAGCTGCTCCGTAACCCCTTTTGCACCCCTTTCGAGCTTCTCGAAATTTTGCCAGAAAAATATTTTCCCGTTCCGCTTCGCAGCAGCCGTACGACAAATACGTTGCGATCTCCTCCCTGTTCTGTCAGAAAACTATTTTCTCATTTTGTGTATCCAAATAAAAATGACGTCGTTGTGTCACGCGTTACGTGCATCGTGTTTTCATCCTTTTGCCGTTTCTTTTCCGATGAACAATCAAACGACTGAAAATTTGCGGAGACATGCGGTAATTTTCCAACAGAGGCGATAATCGAGGAACTCGGAGAATGTCAATGTGAACAAGTTTAACGAGCACTCATCGGTAAATGAGCTCGAAAAAGCATAACGAGTACGTTATCGCGATTTAACTCGGATTTTCCTCCTTTTTAAACCACCTTTGACTCATCGTCTCGACTAATGTGATTTACTTTTTAATCACTGACCCCTGGATTCTTGGTTGTCGTTGTCAACTGATCGTTTCGTATCGATCTCGACCCTTTTCCACAAACAACAAGTTTATCCATTCGTTGTTTACAGCTAGATGATAAAAAATAAGATGTTTTCCTCTCGTCTCGATAGATGCATTTATTTACGATTTGTTTCATTGTGTTTAAACTGTCAACGAGAACAATATCTGTTAACGAACATAGACAATAATTTAATACATCCGATATTTTTGAGGACTAAAGTCATTTTTTCTCCCATAACACAGCCCTTATACCTTTCCACGCTATAATCTTCCTCTTCGACATGAACCTCAACCACGAGGCAATAATCTTGAAAACCCAAGAGACAATAGTCGGTCGTTATCTCGTTTGGACAATGCCTATTTGCTTCGCTAACTTACGAGGAAAAATAAGACGGAGTCATTGTTTTTTTGAGAAAAATTCGATGAAAAATTGGCTCGATGACGTGCGTTCTAAATAAACTTGCGTCGTCCGATGTTCGACGTCGAATTCCTATCGCACGCGACGATTCGAAATCAGTGTAAATTCAAATTTGTTAATGCAAGCAACTCTTTAAACGCGGAACGGTTTTGGTTGGAAAAAGATTAATGGATGAGATTTCTCCTCGGTTAAAAAAGAAACCGTTCGACCACATTTTTAACGAAACATTCAAATTTCTAAGAAAACGAGCGGAACGGTGAATGAGCCGAAGTCTCGTGCCCCGAATCCTTGTTCCGGGCAACGGTCCAGGGGTCCAAAACTCGGCGAGATGAATAGAAAAAAGCAGAACGGTGGCCGAGAATGTCGTGGAGGCATCGGTGACCGGCCGTTCGCGGCTACAGCACAGCCTGCAACGCACAAATGGCGCCCTTCTGTAAGGACAAACAACTGACAGCTGACCCACGCTCGTGCTAGCTTGACCCACACTTACGGTTCATCTGCTGACAGCATTTTTGTCCCCTTTGCCTATCTCGCGTCGTGATATCAAACATTTTTTCGCCTCGAGATTCTTCTATCGGATGACACTATCTTCTGCTTCTTTTTATTGTTCTCTTACATGAGCGTTATTGCCTTAATGTACTTCGTTTTCCTTGTACGAGATACACACGTGTATATGCATATGTATATGATTTTTACGTGTGTCCTATATGTAAAAAAATCTTCAATACAAAAAAGTAACAAATGCTTTCTCGTACGCGTTCGAACCCAGTAATAGAAAGCTTTAAGATTTCCAGCTTGGAAGATTAATCTCACTTTACCG